CCAGTAGGGGGCGTGCAGGAGGCAGCTGATCTGTGACTCGGTCTCATCATTGATGTTTCTCTCTCTTTCTCTCCCTACCTCTCTGAGATCAATAAAAATATATATTATAAAAAAAAAAAAAGAATGAAGGCTTGGTTGTCTCTGTAGAGCTCTTGGAATAGCAGCCCAGGTTGCCCCCACCCAGACCCACTCCCTTCCTGGGGTAAAATGGTTCCACCCCCAAGCCGGCTGCCCCCATAGGAGTTTGGGGGGGAGGGGGCACAGAAACAGCCAATCTGTCTGTCTCCCTGCTTCCGTTTACTGGCCAGGGTGGCTGAGGATCTGTGCATCCTGTCAACTCCCCCCCACCCCCCACCCAGGCTCCCTCAGCAGGGCCCCTCACTGGGAACCCCTCACCTCACCCCAGAACCCACAGTGGCCCAGTAAACCCCCCAATGCAAATTGGGTCCTGTCCTTTCCCCGCCCCAAACCTGCTCCCCACATCACCTGTGGCCAGACTGCTATGCCCACGGGGCCCCCACAATCCAATCCCCGCCTGCCTTTCCTACGTGGGTCCCTCCTGGTCCTGAGCCTAACCCCGACCTTGACCCTGACCCCACCAGGGCCAAGCTGCCCTGAGGAATGGCCTCCAAGCGCCAGGTTAGGGCAGGACTTCATCCCGAAAGTTAGAAACCACAGAGGACATGGCGAGTGCACCGGACTCTAAAAGTAAGAAACATACATGGGAAAATGATCCCCAGGTCAAAAAAATGGAGAGTCAGCTCGGAAGAAAATAAAAACATAAAAAAGATCTTTGCGACAAGTGAGAGAGAAATGGCCCACTTACCTTGTATACGAAGAATTTGTACCGCCCGGCTGGTGTGGCTCAGTGGTTGAGCATCGACCTATGAACAAGGAGGTCATGGTTGGGCTTCCCAGTTAGGGCACATGCCCATCCCCAGTGGGGGGCGTGCAGGAGGCAGCCAGTCAATGATTCTCATCATTGATGTTCCTCCCTCTCTCTCCCTTCCTCTCTGAAATCAATAAAAATATATTTTTAAAAAATACAAGAGCTTCTCTCCCTCCCTGGAGTCCAGGGGAGGAGGGGCGCTGATGCTGGTCTCTGCACCCCCATTCCTAGGTTCCCCCCTCACCCCAACCAATTTCACTAGATTCTCAGGAGCAGTTCCCTCACCCGCCGCCAGGGGGCGCCCCACCCTCCTGCCTGGCCCAGCCTGGACAAGACCAAGACGGGGGGGGCGGGGGGAATGGATGCCCTAGGCCTGCTGGCATCCGAGAAGAGCTGTGGGCTTGATGAGTTTACTTTGCTGAGTAGTCCCAAGTACGATCCGCTTGTGGCTGCGTCTTGTGTGGACGTATGTCAACACGGATGCCCACGCTGCCGGGGCCCAAGGAGCCCGAGGAAGGTACGGCTGGCTATACGCGGGCCCGGGCCACTAGCTGAGCTCCAGAGCTGGGTTTGCTCTGTTTCTATTTTTTATTTTATTTTTTTTAATTGATTTGTGAGAGGAAGGGAGAGGGAGAGAGAGAAGCATCATTGATGAGAGAGAACCATGGATCGGCAGC